GATAATTCAAAAGACTAGTGTAAAAATCTCACCTGCTGCTGCAACATTAGCGTGAATGAGGTTAAAGTATAATGCTCAAGCTATTTGCAGCAAACCTAAGGAGGTCTTGAAAGCTGTGTACGCAAATAATTGACTAGCTCAGGATTTCTACTAGGTGCAACATTTCTGTTATGAATTGAGAGCTGACTCCTTTACTTTCTCTTAACGTATTTATACTAGATTATATTTCATAGAATAATAGAATGGTCTGGGTTGAAAAGGACCATAATGATCATCTACTTTCAACCCTTCTGCTATGTGCAGGGATGCCAACCACTAGACTAGGCTGCCTAGAGCCACATCCAGCCTGGTCTTGAATGCCTCCAGGGATGAGGCATCCGAAGCTCCTAGAAGAATTTCCTATCTTGATTATATAAATGTAAAAGGAATGAGAAGGGAATATCTCTTCATTCTAGCAACTTTACACCTCTTCAAGTATGAAACATACGGGCTACTGATGTTGAAGGCACTACAAATATTGAATTACCTGTAATTATAAAGTTAGATGTAAAGAAAGATACAATACATTGGCTTTCACATGTTTCCAGTGAAGCAGAGAAGTGATAGTAGTGTCTGGATTATATAGCATAAACATGAAAATGACAGCACACAAGTTGAACATCAGAATATTCTTCTCAAAATACGTTCTTTAGAGTTCATGAGATGTTACCTCAATGTAAATCACTTTTCTGTTATATTTTCTTCCAGTCTTGCTTTTGTAGCTACATGATTCTTAAGATTGTTTCATGTTAGTGTTCTATGGTTGTTTTGTTTCCTCTTAAATTATGAAGTGAAAGTATAATGGTAAATTCTAGAATGAAGCAGCTGTATAAAAATGGTGCTATTTTGAAATGTTTCTCAGGTCTGTTTTTATTAACTTTAAAAAGAACTTCAATGTAGAAGTTGTTGGTCAAATCAGTTGAGACTAAGATTGATCTTGCGTAGTATAGCTTCTTGATCCCTTCTCTGAAAAGTATTTATGCCCAACTAAAGATTAATTTTTGTTCTAAATACAACTTCTTGGCAATATAAACTTTCCCGATACTGTTGTAAGCCTCCTCTATTCTGCTAAAGGATACTACTTAACTAAGGAAGGTATTGTGCCTATATTAATGTGAGACAAGATTACCAAACTGTCCATAGAGTAACTTGGTTATGCTTGTAGTATTCTGAGAAACTGTAAAAAGCTTTGTCTTGTTAGTACACATAAAATCTGTCTTTAGGGCCCAAGACAAGTGTTTCTGACAATTCTAGATTAATGGGGAGCCTCAATCAAAAAACCATTTTTTTTGATAGAGTAGTTCAGATTTCTGATTTTTATGGAGTAGGACAAAGAACTTCGAGTCTACCAAAGCATACAGAGCAACCTGGGGAGATGGAACAGAGAACTCAGCAGATCATGTGATATCCATGCAGCCAAGAAGCATGAATCAGCAGCAGACACAGAATTCTAGAGGACCAAGTGGTGGATATATTACAAGGTTTGTTTCCTCATATTTATCAATCCCAAATACAGAAATCATAAGGTTCTTTCAGACAGATTTTAGATGAAGTTGCTAAATAAAGTTTTTTACTGTTATTTGGAATAACTAATATTACTTTGAGAGGAGGTGGAGGTGGCAAGAATGAAATAATACAGTACTGAAAGCATACATCTTGCACTTCCTTACTCTACAGTGAGAACTGTAGGGCTCCAATGAAAGTTACAGAGAGTGATGTTTTGGTTGTTTTTTTTTTTTTAAAGTGAAATACTGTCATACAATTATAAGACAAACTAATGTCTTCTGATGTCTCAAATTTTCTCTAGTAGCTACTGTTTTAAACCAAGGAATTTCTTTGTAATAGTGAATAATCTAAAACTCTCCTTTTGATGGACTGTTTGCTTAGAATGTGTAGTTTTCAAATGTTAGAAACATACCTTGGCTTCAATAGCTAGCTGTTGGATGACTGAAATAACAAAAATACTGAAGTTTCGATAAAGAAAAGCATGTTCATTCTTCTTGGAAATTCTGTTTTTGTTGTTTGAAAAGGATAACAAATGATGCCAGAGAAGATGAAATGGATGAAAATCTTGCTCAAGTAGGAAACATTCTTGGAAATTTAAAAAATATGGCTTTGGATATGGGCAATGAAATTGATGCACAGAATAAGCAAATAGACCGGATAAATGTAAAGGTAAGTGTCAAAGGTGTTCTCTGCCTTCAGTCTATGTTGACAACTTCCTGTTACTAAGAAGTGATAAAGAATAGGCTCACTCTTATGTTCCAGCATTTGCAGTAAAATACACAATTAAGATCATACAGTCCTGTAGTTGTAGTGATATAAACAATGATCTTAGTGTTTTGTTATGCAGCTGAAAATTCAAATATTTTCAAATTCAAGAATCTTTAAAAATAAAAAAGTCTTAATATGGTACAGGTAACTTGTTTGTTCTGGAAATAATTAATTTGTACTTATCAAACATTCTGACACGTATTGGAAGTAAACTGAGGGCCTGTTGCTTCCAGGTAATCTTTCTGTGCGTGGGAGAGAATAGTGTGTTTCTTTTGTTACTGTTTGTTAAATAATAGCAAGACTCTTTTGGAATTCCTCTTAAAAACAAACAAAAATCCCACAAACCACGGTCCTTTTCTATTATCAGAAGGTAATTCTTTGTCTTAATTCAAAGTCTCTTGAGATATGTCTATTAGAAATATGTTCCTGTGCATCTACAAAAACCTATTTTACTCTTATCTGTGCATTAAGTTAGTCCCACACAGTAACATCTTTCTGCATCCCATCGTAACCTGGTGTTAAAGGTAAACTTCCCTAAATGGATAAATAGTATGTAAGTGTTTTTATAAGGGGCTTTCTTTCAGTGGGCAACTTGTGAGGAAGTTTAGCCATGTTTTAGGAATCCCCATCTTCTGAACTGAATAGAAGCTTTTTAATGGTCTCTCCAATAAAGGGTACAGAAGTTTAATGAATGGTGTGTATGAGACATTTTAAAAAGCAGAAGTAGGTACACATTGCTGTGTACTTATAAAATGAAGTGCAATTGCAGGTCAAAAGGTTTTTCTGAAAAACCCCATAGGATTAACGATATCAAATATCCAGAGCCACATAGGCTAGTGTGACATAAATGCTGCTGATACTATTTATGTCAGCATCTCGGTTTTGTCTTAACAGTGAAATTTTATGACTCAGGTCAGGTGTTCTTTATTAGCAGTGCCAGGAAGCACTGCGGATATTTCTACAGTAAGCGCTTCAAAGATCACAGCATTCAGGCTCCATTACATTTCCACAGATAGTACATACTCATCAATTACCTGTGAGATAATTAACATACACACCTATCTCAGGTAGTGATTTATGAGGTTTCCAGTCTTCTATTCCATGGTCTCATCTAGCATCCTTTTAGTACTATGACAGTCCAATTTACAGCCTTTTACTTCATCCAGTAGTCTTCCTCACTCACTCTCTAGATGAACTTCCTTCATGGATGCGTGCTTAGTAGAAGAATACCTATTATAAGTAATTTATAAGTACGAAAATTGTAACATTGGCTCACTTGGCCTTTTTTCTGGACATCTGTTCATCCTTGGATAGAGATAAGTTTGGCAAGCTGTCTTTTAATGACATATATTGGCGTGTTGGAAGATAATGAGGATAGAGGGGAGTATCTTGCATCCCAACCTACTCCCAGAGTGAGACAATTCCTTTTTGTGTGGAGGCCCTGGCTGCTTTGATGCTTGACAAGCCTACTCATATTGTTATTGTGTCTCTTTTGCTGAAGGTCTCTTATTAAAACAGAATAGTATTACAGCATGCTTTCTAGTGTATAGTGCTACTTATGTAACTATTCACATCTAAAAGCTATTACAGTTTTGCATGCAAGAACTAATCACGTGATACAACAGTTCAACAACTATATTTCTAAAAATATGCTATTAAAATGTATGGTGTAGCTACTTTTTCAAATCAGCTATTTCTAGAAACACGTTATGAAATACATTGTGGCCTCCTACCTTTTCAAATCAATATTTTATATAAAATCTAACTTATAAAAAAAATTGCTTCCTTTGTATTTACCATAATACTGCAACTCAGGAGTTTGTGTCAGTTTGAATTCTTAAACTGTTTTGTGTGTGGTTTGCAAATGACCTATACACTTGTCTTTTTCAGGCAGATACAAATAGAGATCGCATTGAGCAAGCCAACATCAGAGCGAAGAAACTCATTGACAATTAGAACCTATTGTAGTTGTTCAGTGACACTGTCTCTCCATCTTCAAGCCACCATATTCATGGATCTGTGAAACTTCTCTACTCTGAAATAAGAGGGGGCTGGGAAAAAATGAAATATACCTTTTCTATAGGGAATTTTTTTAATTCATGTAGACATGGTTTTTGACTCCAAGAAAGTAGTCAGCATAACTTTCTTCTACTCATTTGCCTTCACTTTCTTAAACTGCTCAGGGCTGGAAGTGTCATGGCTTTGAGTCTCTTTTCTTGCATCCAAAATACAATTCATTACTGAAGTTGAATAAGCAGGGTAATGTGAATTCACAGTTGTGGAAAGCTGGAGAGGGCACTTTGCACTGTTTGAAATACCTCATAACTTGAGTGTCTTCAATGAAATAGGGACTTGGTGAGTATTGTTCGACTTATATCTCTAAGCAGGCTAACCACAGTTTCACAGTTCAAACCACAACTGGTTTGAGGTTGGGCTTATGGACTACAGAATTCAATAGCCCACTAATTACTACTTCTGGGTTGAGGGCTTTAAAAACACTTCTTAAACACGGAAACTTTAATGTAAAGCTAACTAGAGGGGTATACAGATTTCCATTTCTTTACTGTAAATTGACATTTGGAAGTTATGACTAGGAAACGATGTTCCGTTTTTCTAGTAATGTTTGTGGTATGTGTTGATATATCTGGTCTAAAACCTATGTGCATGTGAGTAGATCACAAAACAAAAAAAGTCCCCGAAGCATTTATTTGATAGAAAACTGTGTCCACAGTCTGAAAGTTAGCTTTGAAGTGTTTAATGCATGTTAACTGGAAGGATCTGAATAGAAACAGAATAGAAAAGCATGCAGCTTTCTCATATCCCATATTGTATTCTGTTTTGGCTAGTTGTTGCTGAAGTTCAGTTCAGGCCTTTCTCCATTGAAATAGAATGACTGAGATTGAGTATGGTTTGTCCTCAGCAGTGACTTTAGGGGAGCTTTTTAAAATTACCAAAAGCAAAGATCATCTTGTTATGATACTACTTTGTCACGGGTCTGGAAGAAGCAGTACATGTATGTAGGATCTGTTTGCTAGTTCCAAATAAACTATTCTGAATAGATTCTTGACTAGCTTATTATTTCAGGCCTTGGGACTGGCAGCTGGAAATACTTGATCTCAGTTGCTTAAAACTAAAAAGTTCCTATTCTGCTGCAGAATAGAAGACCAGTTGAGTGGAGGTACAGCTGTCATCTCTGTAGTCAAACCAAAATGCTTTTCCGCTTCCAGTATACCCAGATTTATTCCCAGGGCTTTTGACAGTCCACAGGTATCTTGTAACCATTAATAGTAAATCCTCGGGCTAAAGAGATTACAGTAACCGCTGAAATGGAGATGTAATGAATGTATGTAACATTTCTGGTTTCCAGTAGAAATACAATTTGTGTATAGTATATTAACTAGTATATTCTTAGTTTGCTCCCAGTACAACCTGATATTAAACAAAAATCAAAGAAAACAACTAACCAAAGGATGGAGCTGCTGCATGTGGTAAATTGGCCAGTGATAGAAGTTCTTATGTAAGACACCAATTTTATGGGGTCTGGTTACTTAAATGCTAGATATTGGCTTCTGACGGTTTTTGGAAAGATAATGAATTATAAAAGCTCCTATTGTTAATGCTTAAAAACACAAGTAGCAAAAAAGTACTTATTATAATTTTACTATATGATATTCTTATAACCTTTTGTGTGGGAAAGCACCAGGGATTAGAATTTGTGACATTTTTGGGGTGGTTATCTTGTTTTCCTTCCTACAAACTTCAGGTTAACTGAAGGAATATTTGCTGCTGATCACAAAAGCAAAGCATGCATTACCTGTGATCATCTCCTGGAACAGAAAACTAAAGCATTTGCCTTATTGTACTTAAAACAGTGCAAGGCTGCTCTGTAGCATCTTGAAATGTGTTTTTTCCTTGCGACAAGTCTATGTTCTTGATCTTCCCTAAGCATTAAGCACAAATTGGATGAGAGACTGTTGTGATTGGTACACAGAATCTTAATACTGCAATGAATATCACACAAGGAAATAACGCTAAGCTTGAGTATTATGTAAGTATCAATATTTTCTGATGCAGCAAGAGCCAAACCTGTCAGGGAGCTGGTGCTTTAATGTAAATGAACAATGCAGTCTGCTTCTTGAATCATCTTACTGTTGTCTGTAGAATAGATGCTTACTTTCCAAGTTTGTGGGATGTAATCAAAACTTGTACTTCTTTATATTTCTGAATACTATTGAGAATGAAGGTTTACAGTTTCTGCTTTTGATTGTTAAACTGCATATTGTGCACAAAATACATACTTTTATAACTGAATGTGTTTTAGAACTATTTTGTCTTATTTAGAAATGTCTTTGTTTAGTTTCCTGTCCTTGAAAAACTTGGCAGAACTAGTTGCTGCTGTTATGCAAATAGGAAGTTTCCCTTCTATTTTTATTTCATAGAAACCCTGATGCTAACACAGGAAGGGAGGTGGCTGGAAAGAGAGGAAAAGACAGATCTGTTTGTTTTGTTTTGGTGGTTTTTTTTTTTTTAACAATTCAGTTTCCATTCTGGCATAACTGACAGTATCACCTAATGTCAATCTATCAGATGTGTCCATCTTTTTTGAAGGACTGATAAGAAATGAGACTACTCTTCAAGATGATGAATACTAGTAACAGATATCAAGCAAGGATCCAGTAGATGAAATACAGAGATCTAACTTTTTGGCAATGCACTTGAAAAGCTATTTAAAATAGTATTTTCTCTGATATTGTAACATCAGATTGGCAGAATGCACTTAAGGATAGAGGGATTACAGATTTGAAACAGTTCTGAGCTTCAAGAACAGTGGTATCCGGAAATGGCTTGGAAGAATCATTTTTCATATAAAGTTGGGCTGCCTAGCATATTTTTACTAAGAGCTAGGTTAAAAATAAATTTTTAAGAATTGGACAAATGGAGTATATAATTATTCTGAATGTGTTGTAGATGTCCTTTAGGCATATTTATACAGTAATTCATGGTATACTATGAAATTTGAGCTAGCCTACGTCTTGGTGAAAAGTGAGTAAGGTTTTTGACAGGTAGCTATATATGAGCTGCAGTACATATTGCTTGTGCAGTAGCTTGCTAAACTCCCTCCTCTGTAAAGGCTTTGCTGTGGAAAAAATGTGCTTATTTGCCTTTGCACTTGAAGTAACAGTACTTTATCTAAATACTAACTGAATAAACAGATGAAAACTGCATATTCATGCAGCTAAAAAAAAAAAATTGGAGAGCAAATGAAATCAGTATGAAATAAAATACCCTAGTTTACAATCAGTTCATTTAACTTTTTCTAACTCAGTAATTTCCAAAGTAAAATGATGTATTTTTGTGCATGAAAATAAAATCCTTTTGCATAAGGGGTGAGGAGAAGGGAAAACAGAAATTGCTGATGTAAAACTATTGGTAGATTAAGTGTAGTGATGAAGCTTCACTGAACTGGATGCTATTCTGTACTTGAACACGTTCATTACTGTGACCTAGAACATGAAATTTTTTTCTTGAAACAAATCCCCTTCTATTTTGATACAGATTTGTATAGTTCAAGACTAACTTGGCAGCATTTAGTATTTTTCATGGTGTCTTCCCTTTGCTTGATGAAACTTCTGGTAGGTGCTGTAACTCCAAGGTAGCAGAAGAGCCATGAGTAACTGAAAGGTTTCTAAATGTACTGGCAATCACATAGACAACAGAAATACTGACGTAGTATCTCAAATATTTCAAAACCACTGAGATTTTTTTTTTATGGCAGTGCCAACTGTCACTTTTTCAAGTATTCTGCTGCTCTTGTTTCCTAATACCTATTGCTTTCTGTTCCTGCATACAAATCTTTGACAAATCTCAGACAAAGAATGCTGATAAACAACTTAAGCTTAAGAGGAACAGCATGCCTGAGAACAAGTATTTTCAGTTTAAAAAAAAAAAAGCACCCACAGATCCACGGCATAGTATTGCAAAGTGCATGATATTAATGATAAATTATCCTGTTGTACTGTTAGGTCAGTTGCTCCTGTCCCATGCATTGGCAAATCTGCTAAAATGAAGGGGGGTTTGGTCTGTGGGTGTCTCAAGCACTGCAAGTCTGTAGGAAGAAAGCTTCTGCTTCAAATTGGATTTCAGGTATCAACTGAAAGGAGCTGAACTTGAAACAAGTTTGAGGCTTAACCTATTCACTGCTAAATTTCTGCAAGTTGTCATCTGTGGAGTTTATTAATATAGAGGAACAAGTTTCTGATTATCTGGCCTTGCAATTATTTTGACATGCAAAACAAAGCAGTATAGTAAGCGCTGTCTTCCTGTCAGCTACTTCTTGTTTAAGATAGCACCTGGAATGGGGAAGTCCTGAAGTGTAGACCGGTTCCTGCTGTCGCCAGCCTGGTTATAATGGCAGCAATACTAACAGAAGATGTCTGTCAGACAAGGAACTACTAGCCCAAGAATCTGTACCATCCTTGATCTCTCTAGGTACCTGAGAGCCCCAGATAGGGATGGGGTAGCTCTGATAACTATAAAAACAAACTGTAAGAACAGGTAAAAAGTGGAAATTAATCAGAGAATGGTATTGTTTTTGCTTGTTCATTAAAGGGGAGAAGCTTTAGGAAAGCAAGAAACTAAAAACAAATGTTGCAGTTACAGGTAGGAGAACAAAAGCTAGCAGTGGCAGGTAGTTGTGTCCTTACCAACCAAAAATATCTTGCTGTCTACTCAGAATGGAACTTCTTTCTTATTACTCCCCTGAGAGAACATCTCTATTCGAGATCTAAGGGATAGACAAGACCTTGGAGTCACCTAGCTGACTCTGCCCTCTACAATGCAAATCATCTCTGAAGTGAAACTTTGTCCTTCATCAACTACCCTCAGTCCTGAGAGCAATTTGGCAAGTATTACAGCAGGCTGGTAATGCTTGAAATAACATGTGTGCTTTATTAATTACTTGCTTTAGTGGTGGTAAATAGTAGTAGTCAGTAATTAAAAGCTAAGAAATAAAACACCTGTTCTTGCATATAGAATTCTCTAAGTCTACCACTGCAATCTTTATGCACTCATAGTCTGGGGAACTTGCAGGTCATGACACCTGTTTAATGATGGATCATACCCATCCTTTAAATCATTAATTGACGTTCCCCAAAATACTGTAAAAAGTATTACAGTGTAAGAATGAAACAAGACTTCTACGGGACCAGGGAACTCAATATTCCTAAGCATCTTATAAAATAAATGATAACTACAATTAAAATTAGTATATTGAGGAAAAACACTGGCATAGAGGTCACTTCATTTTCCTTAGTTGCAGATGGCATAACACATTGACTACATATAATTTTCACACCTGCACCTTCAAGGAGTTGAATGTCTAAATGCCTTTCTTACCACAAGTATGAAAGGTTATGCATAAAACAATAATTACTATATGCAGTGAGACTGGAAGACCATCTGATTAGGAAGAGGTGCATCCATCTTCGTTTGCTAAGAAATGCACCTAGTACAGTTCCTACTTTGCTATTTTGTGCATGTTAACTTAATTGCTACCTAAGTGTTGACTTACTTGACTTCTCTGCTTTTTCAAAGGGTTGAAGTACAGCTCTTAACAGTAACTGATGAAACAGTGTATCTGAAGTGGTGGTTTGTAGGACAGCTTAATACTACTGGTAAAAGTGACAACAGCAGCAGGTACACCAAATAAAGCTTGAAATGAGTTTTTGAAAACATTTTACTAAAATAAACAAGTACACTTCCTTCTTTAGAATAAGTTAAATAATTGCATACATCTTCAATTCTGTCTAGGTGCTTTTGGTACTAAGGCAGCAGCAGTAGGGAGACAGCTAAGACTTTCACTAAGAGTCAGTGCAAGGATATTTTCCAGCAGTATACATTTTTACTGAATACACTGAAGGTGAACTTCATTTTTATTTGACATAGCTCAAGCAGTAGAGGACTGTAGTGCAATTCTTGCTTATGGGAAAAGAAAGTCTATACAGAGAAGTATGAATGAAGAATGTTCAAGTCATTTGTTTACTAGAGCCAGTTAATAAAAATTAGCTATAACTATCTGTGCTTCATAGAAAAATTTGTATAAGTTAAGAACTAAAACATCTGTGGAAGTTCTCTGTAGAAGAGTTTACTGTAGAAGAGCTTACTGCAAAATATACAATGTTTTGAATCTGCTTTGAAAGCAAAACTTCCATGTACTATCATGGAAAGTGATTCTAGGAGAAATAATTCTCTTAGAAATCAATCAGTAGCTTCCTGACAAAGGGAAACTGGCAAATTTGGAATACCCTTTCCCCTTCTCTACGGAAGAACGAGCCCTGACAACAGAGAATGTGTACTGTGTTAAAAAGTTATAGTGGCTCAAAAAGAAAACTGGCCCCTAGGCAGGTTCATCAGTACAGTACCTGTGCTTTCTAGTTCCAGTTTATTTAATGTGGTCTTACCGACTGTATGCAACTAATAGAGAGGATACTCTAATCTCCTTTATCAGTCTTGGTTTATGTCAGTGAAGCAGGTGGCTCAGTCACTAACTTCTTACCAGGGATACACACAACCAGAACAAAATCACGCAAACTTCTTCTTTGTAGCTGTAAACCGTTCCATGTACTACAAAGAAAAACAAAAAAGACATTTAAACAACACTTTAATAAATCTAACCTTTTTCTATCATCTGTTGTAATGGATTGATACTCTAAACTAAGAAACCTTACAAATGCTGAAGTCTAACTGAAGGGTTTTAAGGGTGAACTGATATTAAAGTTAATGATGCTTCCAGTTGTTCTGCAGTCATATCTAAAGAATTCACCAGAAGCTTCTTAAAAAAAAGAAAAAAAAAGTCTATATACAAACCTTGTCATAACCCTCCAGTTCTCTGAGTTTCTTGATTTCAAAGAGGTTGCCTTCAACTGCAAGCAGTGAGATCTGGGAATCACTGAGGATACTCTGAGGAAGCATGCTAAGTTCTAGACAATTTTCTTCTAAACGCAAGACTTTGAGACGTGGACAGTGTGAGATCTGCACTGAGATCTGGGAAATCTGGTAGGAATTTTAAAAAATGGGATTAGAATGTTAGCTATCCATGATTACTTCAAGTGGTCTGTGCTTCAGACTGATATGGAACAAATATCATTTTGCAAAAATAGATTACATTAACAATGACTAATTAGCAGTACATAAGCCATAATAATGTTTAAAGAAAGCCAAGAAACTTATATTCTTCTATAACTGTAAGCAGATTCCTACTCAGTATCTGTCCAAATATTTTCTATATAATTAAATTCAGGATATGTTAGCTGTTAAAATCAGTCAGTTGAATGTATTAGTACATAAATTGTAGTTATGATGCCTCATTTCTTCTGTGTAGAAGAGATGCATCTTCTAGCTCTAAAGTTTTGATTGTGTCAGCCTATGGTCTATGGACAAACTATGTCTAATGTAAACAACTGAGTCCCACATCCACATGCCTATAACATCTGTTACCAGACCTGATTCTGATTCAAATTGAGTTCAATGGCCTGCAGTTCTCCCACACTGTCAGGTACATTCTGGATCTGGTTTTTGGAAAGATCCACCACATCCAAGTGGCGAAGACCACAAAGTTGTGTAGGCACAGTCCGAAGCTGGTTCCCAGAAAGATTCAAAGTTTTGAGAGCTGAAAGTTGTCCAAATGCAGCTGGTAGCTGCCTCAAGTGATTGCCATTCAAATGCAGTGTTTCCAGTTTTTTCAGTCTACACAGCTCCTCAGGTAGAGCAGCTAGAAATAAATCACACAACAAAGAGATGACCTACAAAATGAACAGTAAACTTCTGTAACCATTTATGTCAAATTTCTGCATGAAGAACAGTGGTTTATTACAGTAATTTCCCACAGGATTCTTCCATGTTTTCCAATGAAAGCACCGATCCCTGCATAGAAACTTAAACTCACTAACAAGATGTGCTTTCTAAACATCTTCTAAAAATATATTAAAAATAATCTCCAGACAAGACAGACCTTCAACCCATAAGCTGAAAATGCTGCTTTGAGGATTGAATGCTATAAATTATACTCTCTACCAGCCCATTTGCTAACGTATTCTATGGCATTTCATCTACCACACAGTTCATAGCCTCAGGTCTGCTGCAGCCATTTAAAGGTATCGCTCCACTCACTCAGTAGTAAATTCTCAAATAAGCTGTACTGTATCAGACCAGCAGAGAAGCCTCAACAGGTAAGCACTGCTACAGTTCATCCTCACTCTATCTATATGTGTCTAACCTGTAACACTCCTGAGTTGCACTACAGCAACAAAGAGGTTTGTAAATTACATTTGTTTTTCAAAAAAGGCAGTTAATACACAATGAATATGCAAAAAATAGAAAAAAAAAAAGGCTTCTTCACTTCAGCCTAATTTTTCCATAAAGGGGCAAAAATTTTGTTTATCATCCAGAAAACTGCAACTCTCATAGCATAAACATAACCTGAATTTTATTGACCTTCCACTCATGTTTGTCCAAAAGAAGCAGCAACAACTAATCAGTGGCCCACAACATTCTCTACAGGTAATCTTCAGCGCCTGTTTTCTAAGCAAATAAAGCTAAACCACCTGACACTGTTAAACTTTCAGATCAGACAAGTCACAGCACAGAAACTATACAGTTTTTGTACTTACATGTTATTGTAAAACTGATAATACAACTAAGTTGGCAACTAGTACTGCAGAATTTATGGTTTGATTTTTTCCTGTACATGAATCCCAAAGATTTCAGTTTACATGACTAAGCTTCCCATTTATATCCTGTGAGAGTTAAACCATTACATTTAGTTTCTGATCAGAGAAGTCAGGTACTACTTTAAAAATCTGTGGAGATATTAATTAGCAGGCATACTCAGTTTGTTGTTGTTTAGAACAAGGCTCTTCAAAAGGGAAAATTTTCCAATGAGTGGTGGCAAGAGCTCTATTTTGTTGTTCGACAAATCTATTGTCCTTAAGTTGCTTGTTAGCTTCTGCAGGTCTTCAGGAAACTAGGGTGAAGAAAAAAGATACACTGTCTAAACAGTTGATACAGCTTCACATGTTCAAGTGATAAGCTTTAAAACTTTAAGTGAAAAACATATATTGCTATTACATACTGTAATATGTATCACAATATCCAGACATCGTTGTGTAGAAAGTAGTTGACAAATTTCTTTACTGCATATATTTTCAGCTTTGAATTTTGGCTATCCTGTGAATTTTTGGCAGATTTATAGTCCAAAGATATTCTTTGTTTTTCTGCCATTAAGTCAAAGTCAAGATGATTTCTGCATACTTGAAATCCAAGATGCTTGCAGCAATGTGAACATCCTGTACAGGCTACAGTTAAATGCAGCACAAATATCTAAGCATGAAAAATTGTGGAGGATCTTTCTAGATAGCAATATCGTTGTAAAATTACATTTTTTCCTGAAGTTCCAAGCCTTTTTCTTATTTATTTTTTTTAACAGCACAATGCTGTATCCACTACTTCTTTGGGGTACGTTCACTTTTAAGCATAAGATCAGTAGCCTGCAAGTGTCCTGACAGGCAAATCTTCAATCAGAAGACGGTGCAAGCAAAAATCTGCTCTGCCGAGAAGAAAAAAACATTCTTCTGATAACATTATCCATCCCTACTTATAAGAAATACACTATGTGGTGCATTATGACCACACCTAAGTGGGAACTGCTCTTCAGCAGTGTCAGTCCCACCGACAAACGGCCACATGTCCTTATAGGTACGTTACCTCTGTGAGTCCCTTTCCCGTCAGCTGGAACACACCGGTCTTCTGTGCTGTTTCCAGGTGGGCTTTCAATGCACTGTTTCCCATCCTAACGCTTCTTCTTCGAGTGTACGGAGTCCGAGCGGTGCTTTCAGACAGATTCTCCTATTCTCCGATGGAGGAGCACGACCCAAATTCTGCATCACAAAGCAAAATTGTTCTGACACCCACTTCCCGCAGCTCACAGCCCGCACCGAGCCGCAGGCCGCAGCTCCGCCAGGAGCCAAAAGCGACGCGGGGAGCCCCGCCGCAGCTCCGTACCGATCCCGACGCAGTCAGGCGGCCGCCGCACCCGCGGGGGTCGCTCACATCTAAGCCGCCTCAAGCCGCGCTTCCCCCTCCCTTCGAAACCTGGAGTGCCAGAAACCCTCACCGGCTCCTCCGGAAGCGGAACCTTGTCAGCCCGCCGTCACACCCGCCGTGGCGGCAGCCCGCCGCCCCCCTTCCGGGTCGCCCAGGATGGCGGAGGGCCGCCGTTTGGTTTCCGCAGCAACGGCGCCTGCCAGCCCCGGGCCCCGCCGAGAGGCACGGCAGGTCTGCGGCGGGCTGAGGCAGAGCCTCTGGCAGAGCGTCGAACCGGTCGGCAACGACTCCGGCCCCTGCTCCGGCCCCTGGGGGTCGGACGAGCCCACGGAGATCGCGACCGTGCTGGAGGAGTGCGTGGCGGAGGGCTCTGTGAGCCAGGTACGGCGCGGGGCCGCGCGGAGCTCCCGCCAGCGACTCTGCAGCTAAAAGGGAGGATCTTCCGCTGAGGGGGCTTTGAGGCGCTGGCCCAGCTGCCCGCAGAGCCGTGATGCCCCGTTCCCGGAGGCGTTCAAAGCGAGCAAACCAATACCTTAGGGAGTGACCGCAGAGCAGTCCTTTATGATTTGGGGTTTTTTTTTAGCTTGTGCTGATGTTCCCAAAGTAATGCTTGTGTTTTATTAGTTGTTTGAAAAAAATTAACTCTGTCTCTCAGGGTGATAGGCTAACGGTAAGTTTGGACTATTAAAAGTCAATATTGAGAATTTGCCTTTGTGCCGCTGACTGTGCCATTTCATGTTGCATTCCTTTCACAGGAGACATTGGATTTAGCCTGTGAAGAATTTGAATGCTTTGTGAGGTTTTCAGAGAGGGAAAAAATGGCGAAGATTCGAGCAGAAATCAATGAGGTACATACGGCCTCCACTTCTGTCAACGCGCACTTAACACCTCATCTGTACAAGTAATACATGTCACTAATGAGGCATCAGACTGCAGTGTGCCATTGTCAAATGTGTGTGTGTTTTGGAGGCTTACCTGACATAAAACAAAGAGTGAAATGATTAAATAAGTTCTCAGTGTAACTGGAAAGATGTAGCAGTTTGTGTCTTTGAAGTGTTACCTTTCTGTAGGAACTGAAGAACAAATAAGAGTCTGTAGGTCGCTTACATTCCCCAAAAATGTGTTTCTTTATAGGCAACTGGACCATTTTCTTGGCTAGCAAAAGGTAACCTTAGTCACTTCCTGCTGCCTGAGTTGTCTGTTGATTTGTATTTTATGGTGATGTTTTCTGAGCATTTGCTTGCTGGTATGCAGACTGTGTCTGTTGAACTGTGTCATGTAAACTCCAGCAGCTACTGCAAAAGTGTGACAAACTCAGCTTTTAACTTTTTGGAGAATGAATTAACTGGCATTACCCCATATGACTGGCAGAAAGAAAGGACACTTTCAGCTCCTGGTAGAGTGGCTATGTAGCCTCTTGCTGAAAGGTTATGCTTACAAAGTACCGTCTCTGACAAATGTTCAGTGTGCTGTGAGTGAAACAATAATTTTTGTCCTGAAAGACTTTATTGTTCTGTTCTGTACTTTCTTCAGTCTTTTCCTGTCTTGCCAAAATGACCTGAATTTTCTGCCACAGGAAGGTACCTGTTGCTTTTGTGCTCATTTATTGTTAAAAATAATTAAAGCTAAGATTCTCCTGAGAGGTTCTCTCTCAGCTTAAGACAATCAAGACCACAGAACTGTCTTCTCCAAAGGGAGAAAGCTTGGGCCATGAGGTTCTTGAGCAGGATCTGGATTATGAAATTGCTTTGTAGGACTTGTAAGCATCTATGTTTTAGGAATGAGTTGCAGAATCTGTCTTTTGAAGCAGAAGTTCCCAATACATCACCAAATAGTGATTTTCTTGTCGTTGTGTGCTGGTGGTGTTTGGTTTGTTCTTTTTAAACTGTCTTCCTATTAATCAAAAATAGAATCTAAAACTTGAGAGAGCTTGATAGCATGCTGTCATGCATGTGATCAAGCTTTTTCTCCCACTGACACCATCTCCCTTCTTAATCCTCCCTCCCTTTCTTCTTCCCACCTAAAGAGAGACAAAAAATGTGTTTAAGATGCATTTTTATTTTATTTTTGTTGTTGTAGAAGAAACTGGAAACTGAACTTCTGCAATTGGAGCTGGAGGCAGCAGACATAGTTCATCCTTTTTATTTAAGTAAGTGTGGTTGTATTGTAAAAACACCAAGAGTCTTAAAGGTGCGTATCAGCAGACTGTTTCATCTGATTACATAGTGCTCATCATGCTTCTAGAAGAGGCTGCAGCTGTTTTCACTGCATAGTTTGTTAAAGGTGACAGGTGTTTTGTTAACTTCCTCCAGAAGAATGCTTGCATAATATTTGAATCTCATCAAAATGACTTAAAGTAGAAGGAGTGTGTGTGGGTGTATATATTTGTAATCATGTGTCCCTGTGTGTCTTCAGTTTCCCAAATTCAATGGAGCATTGGGAGTTCTGAAATCATCAGTAATTTGTTTTCCTTCCCTTAATTTGTGTGCAGCTTTGCTGATTTTCCAGTAACCTGATGCACGCATTTCTGCTCCGTCTGTAGGCCCCTAGAATTACCTTGTTTGTTTGTTTGCTTATTTATTTAGGGCTTTTTGTTTGTTTTTCTTTAGTTTTTCTTGGGAGCATAAGGATTCATTTTATTTTATTTTTCTTGCTTTTTCCATTTTGTCTTGAGGGATGCTTAAAAAGATTCTAGTTTGCTAATAATGTGTTTTGATAGTGAAGTACATTGTAAAATTGTTATCCTATGGTATAGGTTAAGAAGTGGGTTTACTTAGAGTTACACAAAATGCAAAGCAGTCATAAAGCTGTGTCTCTAAAAAGTATGTATGACTTTCTTCAAGGTGAGTGTTGATGTTAAGTTCTATACAATCGAGTACAAGTAGCTTGGAGTAATGATATGTTTATTGACTGTAAATTGTCTTGAGTAATACATCAGAATTTTTTTTCTGCCTTTCTGCTGAAGAAATTTTGCTCTTATTCTAGCAGGACAGCAGTTTCAACTTTGCAATTTTATCTTATAGGTAAAAAATACCAGATATTGCAAGATGTGAACAGACACTTGGAAGCAGTACTGAAAGAGAAGAGAAGACTTAGGCAGAGGCTGATTAAGCCCATATGTCAAGAGACGCTGCCTATTAAGGCTGATTTCCACAAGTAGGCATATAAAAATTAATACTTGTTTGTTTGATTGAGTCAAAATTAATTGTAACTCATAGGCAGTAAACATCATATACTTGAATTCACATCAGTAAGAGGTGAAATGATAGCAGGACCAAAGCTAAAAGCTAAAATTCTATTAACTGCTAAATTCATGGAACAGTAGTGATAATTATTTTTTGTGACAGTTTGCTTAGTTGATTTGTCTTCTGAATATTACACAATGAAAAATATGTATTTTCAAACGAGTGTGTAAAATGCTCGCTTCGTTATGCTTCTGCATAGGTAAGAATACTATTTCAGCTTTGGTGTTTTTCAGTTATGACTTGCGCAGAAATGTGTGGATGATTCTCAGATTTACATAGTACATGTTTTAAAACTAGTCCTTCTCTAAAAATCTAGTCCTGTTAGTGAAGTGCATACTTGTTTCTGTAATTCCTGCCCTACATGTTGCTGAGAGTTGCAGAAGAATTGTAATTGCACAGAAGTTAATTAGATGACTAGGAACTCAAATAAAACTGGAGGACTAAGAAAACCCGCAGGGAAAAGAGTTAAGACTTTGCAAGTATTCAATCCTGCATTGTTTTGCACAACTTCAGAATTCATTCTTGGCTGCAGGTATGTAGTGGAGTTGTTGACTGAGGCTGTGACTTTCATTGAGAAGTTGGAAAACCATTTGCAGACTGTAAAAATGATCCCTCAGGTACCAACTTTCATGAAGAATCTGGTGAGTGGCAAAAAAATAATAATAATTGAGCCTTTCATCTCCTCCAGCATTAAGAATTCAGTGCTGTTTTGTTGCCTAGCATCTTTTTGTTTCCTGCTAGATTGATAGGATGTGTGGAGATTAAATCCCATCCTCTTCTGCTTCAGGACATTGCTTTGACAAAAACAGAAGTGCTGGTGACAGACTTGGAAGAGCTGACTGAGCAAATATTGCAGTGGAGAGAAGTGCAAAAAGAAGTGTATTCTGACAGCATTTGCAATACTGCTGAATTGGACTTGGGCTTATCTACCTAACAAATGATGTTCTTCATGTGAGATAATTGCTTGAAGAACTGCCATGCAAGTCTCCTGTGGAAACTGCAACACAGTTGTGCCTTAAGTTAACAGGGATTTTGTAGATAGTTGTATTTATGTTTGACATTGTAGTTCAGTGTTTTCCAACTAATTGAAAACAAAAACAGATGATAAGTGGCTGAGCGGTAGCTTGTAAGTAGTCAACTGCTGAGGGGACTGTTAGAGAGTTCCTCTTTGAAATAGTTGACAGACTCTTTGAGCCTTTATCTTCAGTGCAAATTTGTTGGCTTTAGAACCTCTATTCATTTTTAGAGGTATGTTGATAATACACTGTATTTTGTATGCCATTATAACACTTCAATAAAAGTACCTGATTTTAAGATTTAAGTCTTTATTTTGTTATGGAATTTTGCATTTAAAACAATGATACAGAATGCTATGGAAACTGTAGGGGAACTGTTGGTCACAGCCTGAGCCTCTGATTGAGCACCTGAGGCAGGCAGTGAGTCAGCCACGGGAGCACAGGTAAAGGCAATTCACCTGTGCTACCAGCAGGTAGCTCCTAGATCCCATTTAAGTGCTGACTGCCACTGAGGAAGAATCTGGAGATCGCTCCTTGTGGAGTTTATTGCAATCCTACAACATCAGTGAGCATTTTTTTCCATTCAATATTCTTCTATCACAATAATTCTGCTTAGCCTAACTTCTGTACACTCACTGATTGAAGCATAAACTGGCACTTAAGGATTCAAACCAAAAAATTTTACTAGTTTTAAGTTACAGCTTATTAGAGTTATGATGTTGTTGACTGGAAAAGCAAGGAATGGACTTGGTGATGTGTAGCAATTCTTCTAATTTTCTGATAACCCAGATTTCTATGATAGTGATAGCTGTATTATTCAGTCTCTTCTATTGCTTGCCGTGTCTTCAGTGACCTTCTTAAAATACAACTCATTTTACACAAGTATTAATGTCTGGGGTTTTTTTGTTTGTTTCTTTTTTTGCAAGAGGTTGATGGTTACATTTCACAGCCTTAATAACTTTTATGTGTTGAAAGATGTGTTGGTAAAACATCACTGGCAGGACATCTATAAATCAAGAAGCTTGGTTGCCTTTGGGGATGTGCAGTTTCATCCTGAAGACATGGATCAAACTGGAGAAGTGCTGCAGATGTATTTATTTCTATTGCTGTAACCTCTGTTATCTGAATTCTCTGTATGCACAACTTCAGTTTCTAAAAAGGAACCCTTTAATTTCTTAAAGTAGCCACCAGGTGGCTCATTACCACACAAATTTCACTCAAATTTATCTGAGAGCTGCATCAAAAAAGTAGCGTTAAGGAAGAAATACTTGGCTCTTTGTTGAACACACTCTAATAAGATTTACTTGTAATTGGTCTACCCAGTATTAAATACTTGAAATTTTCAGAGAGCCACATCATTCTACAGAGTATGATGTCAAAGTATAGCTTAAAAATTCTCTAATGTCATATACAAGTGTAGCTGAATTTCCTTTAGCTTTCCTTTTTGTTGCTGCTGAGTGAAGTTAAAAAGACAAACGGCTTGGATTAAGTGGAGCAGAATGTCAAGAGATAAGATCTGAGAACAAAGCTGGAGTTTGAGTCCTGTAAGCCTTAAATGAAGTCTTCATGTGAACACTTGGTATGTGACATTGCGCAATCTGAGCACAAACTCCCACGACTGTTCTTTCTGATTCAGAAAAGGTCTTCCACACAGTTGCAGAAGAGCTGTATCTTCTGTTTTTCTGAGATGGGAAGTAACAGAAACTAAACAATCCAGACTTTTAGTCCAGTGCCTTTATCCCAGGTTTAACCTGTCTTAAGTTGCCTTACAGTGATAGTTTACATCAGGTAAATTAAAGCTATTGTAACTTAAGACTTTGAGAAATAGGATGAGAACAGTTCCAGTTACTTTGTTCATCATATCTTTGAATAAAGATAAATATGTATATTTTCCCATATCCAAAAAGTTGAACATACTTCCTTGTTCTGCTCTGCCCATTATTGGAGAGTTGACTGTGGAGATGGTGGAATTTAGCTGATGCCATTAGCTATGGACATATGAGGTCATTAAACCTATTGAAATGTACAGCAGTTCACAGTTTGTACGGATTTGTGAAGGGTCATGAGTTGGGAAGAGTGTTGAGTCTGAAGAACCTCAGTCTGGAAGGTTTCTGTGTTGTGGCACCTTTCATTTAGATTCAATATTTCTGCAGTTTAAGAAACATGATCTTGTGAGAAGAGCTATACTTAAAGTACAAAATGTAGGGTTGTTTAAACGGTCTACATGGCAAGGATTATCTGGTGTAAAGGTACTGTAGTTGCCTATTCAGATACAGCACAATCTTCAACATTCTGAAATGCAGCGAATAAAAGTGAATGACCGCATTGGGTTTGGATTATTTTTTTATGGGTGTGGGTTGGGGGGAAGATTGTTTCTTTTTGCCTGTCAGAATATCCCAAGGTAGCCTGTGTCTTGCCTGTGGGTGTACCTGATGCTCTCACATCCCCATAGTCACACTGGTAACTGACAAGGACAATATTTTAAAATCCTTTTTTTCAATTTTGGTGGTTTTTACATTACTCTAGACATAAAACTTTTCTCAGTTTGATAGATTGTGATTGCCTTCAATTGCAGGTCATGGGGTATTTTAATGCACTACAATGAACCCAGATAATAAAATAATAGTATAATAATATAAATCCAGATTTATTACAATAAATGCATAAAGGTTGGAGTTTCTAAAGCAACTGCAAGTGCTCAAAAGCTGGGCGTTCCTTCAGTGTTAATCAATTCCTTACTACCTCCCTTAAATTCCTGTCACGTTAATCAAATGTGGGAAGCACACTGGAGTTCTGGATTGCCCGCACCTTACTTGGAAAATAAATGTATCAAAAGTATAAAGGAGTAGACCAAGAGTGTTTTATTCTTGAAAATAAAACCCGCTACAGCTCGGTGCTCCCCAGCACGCCCCGATCTGCGCCCTCACAGCATCGCAGCCGCTCGGCCTCGTGCCGCAGCTGCCGCGTGTCGGCGCTCGCGCCTGAGCCGCGAGCCCCCGCTGCAGCGGTGCACGTGTAGCGAAGCAACGCGCGAGCGGCGGCTCTTGGCTCCTTATCCGGCCAGACCTACGGTAGGCGCAGCGACCGCCGGTTGGCTTTTAAATAAGCACCAAAAATGCCCAGTTTTGCTGCTGGAATGACTGCAAAAACTTCCAGCCCGGCCCTCACAGCTGTTTAGGGCAGGGCTTTCCCCGACTCCCTCTGCAGTTTTCCCTGCCGCCGAAGCGAGGAGTGCCGGGGCGGGCCCCGCTGTGTCCCCGCCCCGGGGCGAGGCGAAGCTGCACGGGACGGGGCGGCTCTACCACGGGCGCTGGGTGGTCGTGCTGGGGGCGCGATGTGGGCGCGGAGCTGCAAGGCGTAAGGCGAGCCATGGCAAACGTCAAGGTGGCCGTGCGGGTCCGGCCTCTGAGCAAAAGGTGCAGCGGGGATCGTGAAGGGAGCGCGGGTGGCCGTGCCGCTGCCGGACGGCTGCGAGGGGCCGGGGAAGGACGGAGCTGCGGCTGGGGAAGGAGCGGGCGGTGGGCAGCGTCGGGTGAGGAGGCGAGATGTGTCCCTCCGGAATGCTGAGGAGCAGGGGAGGTTGTTCGGTTTTTATCGCTGAGCTCCTCTAGGCAGAACGTTGTCACCCAGCGCGAGGGAACGTGCTCTTCCCCTTTGGATGTGGCTGTTTGTCCCGAGCAGACAGGGGCCGGATATTCCCTCTGCCGCCCTGCTCTACTCCCTCCCGGCTGCTCGGCTGTGGTCCCGGCCGGCACGCAGCTCGGCCCGGAGGCAGCTCCGGGGGGCCGCTGCAACGCATCAGTAAAACTGTGAGGAGTTCGGAAGTTTGGGCAAGAAAAGAAAAGAAAACCAAATTTTAGCGGCCGGTAATTTGCTTCTGCTGTTAGAGAAATGCTGTAGCGCTTCAGGCGGAAGTGATCTGAGGACGGGTCCGAGCTCCGAGGGCTGCGCTGATGTGGGGCAGCCCGCCCCGTTAGCGTGAGTCCCGCACAGCGTCTTCTGGCTGCGTGGGCCTGTGGTAGATGGCCCTCCCGTGTAGCAGAGTTCTCATTGTGCTTTTTTACCTTTTAACTCAAATTTAGCGGATTTAAAAATCCATAACTATCTTACACAAACATGTTTCTTTTTTTATATATATAATTCTGATCTATAACACAGCTGTGAATGGAACACGTTTTGACAGATGATGGCGTATTTTAAGACAAATTGCAGCATGGAAATAAGCTAAGTTTGGACCTTCTTTGTTTAGTGTTGTTTTAATGCTGGAGACATTTCTTGTTTTTATTTTCTTCCATATAGTTCACCATTCCTAGCATAGAAGTATTGACATTAAAATGAAAACCTGGTAATGAGATCAAGCTATTCAGACCATGGGACCATTTTGCAGAGTCTTGCAGGGTTAACCAGAGGTTGAAAGAGCTTCAAAGTTTGACTTGGTGATGTATTTTGTCATGCAGCCAGTTCTCCCACAATAGCATTTGGCTTTACATCGCATTTGGCTTAATGTTTCTTCCCCAGTGGGTAGCACGTAACTGTACATATGTCATCATAGCATTAAATTGTGCCCATAGCTCTGCCAAGTGAGGTGTGATGAACAGGAAAACCTTTGGCATAGTTGAGAGGATCAGTGGTGTGACAGCAGCATAGTTTGGAGGGGTGAGTGGGATCTTGGGTGGGTGGGATCCCAGACAGCCTCCCTGCACAAGGGCAAAGTGAATCTGGCACTGACATGGAGATGCAACAAAGGGGAGACAGAAGCTCAGGGGGTAACAGGCAGACACTGAACGGCTCTACTGCTTCACCTGTGGCAGCCTCACTGATGGCGTGTGGTATTTGACCATACAGGCCATAAGCTGTTTGTTCCCTGTACTGCGCTGCCCCAGCTGGGATCAGCAAAAATATTCCAGATGGCTTTTTGTGTTTTGTAAAAGGGAAGGGGAAGTGATTGAATGCTGCCTATGAAGGCTCTGGTGGGAGAACTTGCTCAAACATGATAAATTCAAGGCAAGTAGCAAATACTTGAATACTTAATGTAACCCTGATAGGGATCAGTGAGGATAGAGGCTTACACTTTCCGTTCTAGTTTCTTAAACCACTTCCATGTTGTGGTCACATGCACCTCTCACACTTTCTGTACACGTAGCCGTGATGGCCATTAACATACTGCCACAGCTCCAGGGACCTCCTAGGTACTTTGAAAGGAAAAGCTTCCTACAAAAACTCTTTGGGTTAAGCTGGATTGAAGTACTGTGGTGTGTGCAACTACAGTTCCAGTGATTAAAGTTTTCATTTTCAAGAGT